GGGAGGAGGAGGATCAGGGCGCCGGCCGCTCGCAGCGCCCGCACGCACTGGTTGTGGCCCCCGCTGGCGGCTAGCTGGAGCGCGGTGTGGCCGGCGCGGTCAGCGCGCTCGAGGCTGAGCTGCCCGAGGCGGCGGAAGGCGCGCAAGAGCCACTCGACCACCGCCGTCCGCCCTTGCGAGGAGGCGTACATGAGGGGGCTCCAGCCGCGCGCGTCCACTGCGTCTGGGTCGGCGCCGTACTGGACCAGCAGCTTGATGACCTCCAAATAGCCCCGCTCGCAGGCCAAACTGAGGGCACTGCGCCCGGCATCGTCGCGCAGGTTTACCGCGGCGCGACGCTCCAGCAGCAGTCGCGCAAAGGCCAGTCGCCACGCCGGGTCCTTCAACAGAACGGCGAACATGAGCGGCGAACGGCCCCGCTCTGACTGGCAATCCACGATGGCCCCGTCGAGGGCATCCAGGACAAAGCGCGCCAGATGCAGCCGGCCCGCGTTCATGGCCTCCAGGAAAGTCCGTGTGGACGCCCCCGGGCCCAGGTCCCGCGGTTTCAGCATGGCCTCCCGCTGCTACCGGTCCCCGTGGTTCGGTGCCTGATGGTGACTCGAGGCGGCGGCTCTCCAGATCTGCTTTATAACCTCGCCTCAAGTCTCCATGGCGATCGCCGCCTTTCCGCTCCGGGAGAGACAGATCCGTTAAGCGCTCGGGTTGGCGGGCTGGGGAGAGGATGTCGTCCAAACTCCGAGATAGTCACGGGCCCCAGGAGCTCCCCGCCCTCCTGCTTTCGCCTGTCAGGTTGGGCGGGAAGCTTAATGCAAGATCATAAGACTGATTAGCTATCCCCTTTTCAAGCGGAGTCCCTGACGATCTCTGCGTAATTGGGAGACCGTCTAAGTCAGAAGAACTGGAAATTCTTGAATGGTGGAATGCTTCCCTCTGTCTTCTTCTAAGCTCAGTTGTACAGTACTGAGGAGGCAGCAAAACTGGGCTAGTAGAAAGCAGCTGTGTCCACGGGGCTACCAAATCTGGGCTGAAGAAATTGGCAGGATCACTGCATGGCAGCCCAGGTTTCTCTGTCTCTTTGCATCCCTCTAATGGTTGTTTGGATTTTTGCAGCTCAGGTCTGGTAGTCCTATATTGTATTTGGCAGCCTTTCTGCACCTGGAATCTTCCAAAACTTTTTTTTTTTTTTTAATTCTCTCCTTGTTAATGGTCTTGTACCTCAGAGTTCTGGACATTGTAATCCAGCACATCTGGAGGGCAATTCCTTGGGGAAGGCTTTTTTTAAGGTCATGTGAAAAAGCTATCTGGGATACTTGATGCAAGCTCTGGTTGTCACTTGATGGGTATGCATATATGCATTCAGCCTTTTTGTTGCATGGTTGTGTTCGAGGATGAGTTGCATACACGTGTAATACCCATGTGCAATTCTCAGAGCCCAGAAACCAGAGTGGGTTTTGATTTCTGCTTTCTCACAGGTGGGGGATGGTAGCAGGACCAGTAAGTGCAACAAACACTGTTTCCATGGTTTGAGATTATGCCGGTGTTGGCTGCGTTGCATCTCCTTTTTCTCTGCCAGGATATCCTCCTGTGCTGAAGTCCAGCATCAGTGCATACGCAGACAAGGCCTTGTATATCACCCATCAGTTTGTGCTTAGCTCTGTACAGATACTGAAACCAGATACAGGATGGTTCTGTATCTGGTTTCAGTACCCGTACAGAGCTAATCGCAAACTGATGGGAGATGTAACAAGGCCCTGTAACCATCTGATACAGGATGGTCTTCAAGATGCACTCAGGATGTGCTGAGTATCTTCTAGCAGTTGGCAACAGTTATGTGCTCGAAGCCAACATACTAGCCAACATCTGGCCCCAAAACATATAGAGGGCTCCAAACTGGGACAGGTTGGCCTAATCTTGAGCACAGAACCAGCAAGTCCACATTGAATTCTACAATTTTCTGGCATTTTTACCTTTGATTTCAGTAGAATCCTCAGTGCTAAGTTTTATTAAAACTGTTTATCATAGCAGTAATCAGTGCTTAAGTTATCTGCTTTTGGCTCTTTGCTGATAAATAGGAAAGTTGAAAAACTACCTTGAAAGAAGGCAGTGGGAAGCCCTATTGTTGCCAGGAAAACAATATGGAAGCTTGTTTCCATTAAGCCCCTACCTCACTGTAGAGTTAAAAGTGGTGTCCATGAGTGCTTGAGCCAGCAGAAAACTACCAGCATAACGTCTGCTGTCCCTGCTTCCATTCTCTATTCTGCTTGTTTCGTGCTGTGTCTTCAGGGTAGTGTCTTCAGGGTAGTTTCAGAGCAAATTAAGGAAAGGGATTGGGGCATTCCCCAGTTTTGTTTTCCTCCCCTCCCCCGAAATATGACCAGCTGATGGGAAACTGGATCCATCATTCATTTTCTTCAAGGTGGACTGGGCTGGGGAATAGGTGAGTTTTGACAGATGGCTAGATTGGTGGATTTAGCCTTAGGTCAAAACTTGGTCTGGCTTTGTGCAAGTCTTTTGCAGAAGTGTGTTTAAAAGGAGCCTGATTCATTGGACAGCCCTGGAGAAGGCTTCACATTGAAGTGGGAGTTGCTCTCCCACTACACTATACAACCCTGCCCCCTTCAAAGTTGAGCTCTTAGGCTCCTTTTGAAAAGGCATTTAGCTATATCTACTGTATATCTATATCTAGTGCCTAACGAACAGCTGAACCTTTGTTCAAAGGCTTAACAGTTGACAGTTACAGAGGGAAAGGCTGTTTGGTGACAATGGCTCTCTCCTACTTCATAGAGCACTTTTCCACTGTGGGAAAGCTTATGGATTAAACTCCCTTTTCCCACAGGGGGAGAATCCAGTTTGAAAGATACATACTCTATACTCTCCTCACTGCTCAAACCAAACTGGTCCTGAAGAATAGACCCTAGGAACTGGAAGGAAGGGGCATGTCTCCATCAGTCTAGAGTGGCCAATAGGAGCTGGGATGATACCACTCCCTAAAGGCCTTCTGACTGCACCACCAACAAAGTAGTTAGTCAAATGCATCTGATTATATCCATGGGAAAAACTGCTGGAGAGCTAAGGATTACTTAAGGCTGCCTCAGGTATGGCCTAAAGACCAGATAAAGGCAATGTCATGAGGACACAGGACGAAAAAGAGGTTGCCAGAGCGTATTTGTGCCAGGCACAGATGAGGAAAACCTCTTAGTCCATCTTCATAGGATTTATTTCTACTCTCCCGATCACTCTTTTGCCCATCTTTGCATCTCTTTCAGTTTGAATACTTCTTAGAGTGCAGGATAACATTCAAGGTGGGATATAATTGGTGCAGAATAGAGTGGAGCTATTATTTTCTGAGATTTAGAGAGTATACTTCTAAACATCTTTTTTGGAGCCATATCACACTGCTGATGCATATTCTGTGATAACTAGAATTCTAAGGTATTTTTCATAAGAACTATTATGATAGTCATATTAAATATGGTCTCATCCTGTACTTGTGTATTTATTTTCCTAAATGAAGAACTTTGCATTTGCCTCTGCTAGATTTTATTCGGCTATTTTCAAACCACTTTATTGACTTGCCAGGACAATTTTGAATGTTATTTCTGTCTTCTAGAATATTAGGTTTCCTTTTCAAGTGTGAGTCTTCTCCAAATTTTATAAGCTTTCTTCCATCTCATCATCTGAATCATTAATAAAAATGTTGAAAAAGACAGAGCCTTGGAATAAATCTTGTGACACTCCACTTGATACCTCCCTCCAATTTGATGAAGAACTGTGGGGAGGCACGCTTTGAGTATTTATTTATTTAATCAAGTTTCTATACAGCCCACTCTTGGCATAGTTGTCCACAGGTTCACTTAAGGATTACTTGTTATACTTCCAACTTGCATCTATCTAGCTTGTTAACCAGAAGGTCATAGGGAACTGAATGTCACATCTTGCACATATCTATCTTATTCTAGGTCTAATTCAACAACTCTTTCCTCCACTCTGTATCTTAATTAATTTGAGATGAATACTGTTCTTTTAGCCTTGTTTATAATTAGAAAGTATCATCACACCATCTTTTTAGAAAAGTTGAAAAGGTCTATCACGTGATTAGCACTTGGCTGACCTTGTCTACATTAAGAAGCTAAGCAGGATCAGTCCCAGTTAGTAGTTGGCAGAGAGACAAGCGTGTAGCACTTGGCTGACCTTGTCTACATTAAGAAGCTAAGCAGGATCAGTCCCAGTTAGTAGTTGGCAGAGAGACAAGCGTGTAGCACTTGGCTGACCTTGTCTACATTAAGAAGCTAAGCAGGATCAGTCCCAGTTAGTAGTTGGCAGAGAGACAAGCGTGGAATTCCAGGACTGTAGAACAGAGTAAGAAGTTGAAATGTATCCCAGAAGAAGCCAGTGGTAAACCATTTCTGTATTG